AAACATAACACCCAAGATAGTGTGAGATATGATTTTCAAATTATTGAGGTAGAGCATGTGTCAAGTGACATAAGGAAGGAAGATAGTGATAATGTTCATGACATCACAAGGGGAAAAGAGAATGAAGAGGGAGAAAAAAATTTACAATCTAGTTTAAAAGAAAATGAAAATGGTAAGAATTGGTATGATAGTGTATTGAGTTGGATTATGAAGCAAAATTGATTGGTGTTTCGTAACTTACTAATAATGATGATGAAGAGTTAGTTTCTATTAGAAATAGCTTAATTAGTGAGTAATAATAAATGAGATCAAGACTTTTTTTTTTTTTTAACGGTAAGGGCATCATTAATTCACTACGCCAATATTTTATTATTAAAACTAGGTTCCTTTACGATTGGTATCAAGTAAACTACCCAAATCCAAAATAGTATTTTATAAATTTTTTTTGGCTAATTAGTTTGATAGTATCCCGAAATATCGATCAAACAAAGACATGTACTCGAATTTTATTTTTTTAATTGAAGTACAAAAACTATTTTTTGATTTGTAATTAAGTCAAACGATCTCATTGACCAATATTTTTACACAAGTGATGGTGAAATAACCGAAAAAATCATACCTAAATTAAATTAACAAACTTTTTTTCCTTCATTTTTTTCCCTCCTTTCCTCTCTCAATCTTTATTTTTTTTCCTTTTAACTATCCAAAATTGCATGGAACTCGAGCTTAGCCAACCTGAAATTACCTAACCAACTATCAAATTTAGCATACAAACTAACGATTTAATCCATTAAGCAACATTTTTAATCGGGCATTAGCTTGAAAACTTTTTGGGTTGATTACAAGTGCCTAATTTTAGCATAAATATCCAAAAGAGCATTTCTTAGAATTAAATCAATCTCATTCCTACTATTCTCAATATATAAATGTGGAAACCTCAATAGATCAATATCATTAGTATATGGGTAAATAGAAAGCAAACTACCTAAACTAAATTCGTCAATCTCCATCCCTAATTCTCTCATATCTTCGATCATCAAAATGCTTCTTTATGACAATCCAATTCGAATACCTATCGATCACTAAATTATAAAAAATCAAAGTTCTCTCGGGTATAAAATCAAACACTTTCCTACAACGCTCAATCAACCCACAAACAACCTAGACATTTATGAAACCATTTTGCACACAAACGTGAGGCCTAAATCCTAAATGTTTTAGCCTTACCATAAACAAGAACCAAAACACATTATCCTAATTCATAAGCGAAGCTTTAAGTATAAACAAGAGAGTTAAGTCAAAAAGAGAAAGACTAGAATCAATGATTTAATTAACTAGTGTACTAGATGCTTATTCTTGAATACGGGAAGTAAAATGGGAGACAATTATGAGACGACATCATTTCCAATTGAAATAAGAGAAATCTTTAAGTGGGGGTAGAAAGGGAGTATGTGACCATAGAGCCACCAAGCAAAGAGGAAGTCTGTAGGTGGTGAGAGAAGGGAGGAGGAAATTTGGAATAGAGATTTAAAAAGAGATGTTGGTGAAAGTGAAAGAACAAATTAGGTTAGGATTGGGGTTTGGGAGGTAGAGAGAGCGGATATTGAAGAGGAAAAAGTAGAGAGGATGCAATTTGTAGGGAAAGGGGGTATATAGGAAGAGAGGGCGACGATGGTGTGTTGTAGGTGATGCCAAATATGGTGGTGGAGGTGGTTATGAAGGTGGTAGAGGAGGAGGGAGGGAGATGTTGGTAGTGGTGGAAGGAAAGAGTGTGAGGGAGAAAAAACGAAAGAGAGAGGAAGGAAATGAGAGGCTTGATTAAGAGTAGGGATAATTTGTAATTTTATTTCATCAAATTGTTTAGCAATATGCACAATTAGCTAAACCGATATACATGTCTTTTCTTTATTGTATCATATCACCATTATGTGCGAAAAGTGTACTCGGATGTTGCTCAACGAGATTGTTGGACTTGATTCCAAAATAAAACATAGCTTTTGTACTCAAATTGGAAAAATTGATATTTGAGTATCAATTTTCATTTGATCGATAGTTCATATTATGGAACCAATTAGCCAAAAACATTCTTAAAAGATCGTTTAAGATTCAAACCTCTAGAAGAAATTAACAGATTATTAACTTATGACTTGGGGGATTAAATTGAGGGTTGTGAAAAATTAGACTAAGGTAAGGAAAGAAATATATTCAAGCCCTTCTGGAGAAACGAGTTCTATATTCAATTCAAACTACAAAAGACTATAAAAATTTGTTAAAACCTACTGTATTTTGTCTATTATTTTTCCCAAAGTTGACATGAAGTCGTTGCTAATTAAGTGTTATCCCACCTAACATGTAAGAAATAAACCATCCAGTTTCCAAAGTGCCAAGATCGAATCCCTAATTTTCTAAAGAGACAAAAGAATATTGAACTAAAACAACCGACTTGCCTTTATTGAGTCTCTTGACTGCAAGTCCTGATGCTTAAAAAAACACAGTGCTGCCTAATTTTCCAAGAGACATTTTGTCAATTGGTCTAAGTATACATTCGTGAATTAGGAAGGAAAAGATCGAACGACGGTATAGAAAACTAGGAATTGGCAAAATCTGCCAGATCTAAGGTCTATAGTACTGTCAAATCAATGAGGAATGGGTGACCCATAATTACAATTAGAAATGGCCGCATTGTCATCCACACGTACATGATTGACAAATTTCAGATACACATACACCCAAGAATGGTTCAGCCTTCTTCTTTTTTTTTTTTTTTTTAATTACCATACAATAAACATGTAAAATCAACAAGAGTATATCAATCGATGATTCATGGTTGTGGCTTCTATAGCTGTTCAAACAATTAGAATCTCATATAGTTTTGCTTTTTTAACTTGTGGTGTGGTTATCGATTTGATATAAAAAAATTATTGAGAAACAATTCAAGCAAAAAATAAAACAAAAAAATGAAAGCAAACACATGATAAAAAAATTTATATAATTTGACAATATGTTTATACTAAAAATTTTATTAAGATTTTTAATAATTATAAATATAAAAAATAATATTTATATTTATAATGTTAATAATTAGTATTATAATAAAAAAATCTAATCAGCTTATATAACTAATCTATAACAAAACAATTGTACTAGTTATGCATAGTATATTAAATTATGAAATATATTTATATCGATTTTCATAACTTAATAGAAAAAAAACTTAAATCTTGGTATATAAAAACCGATCCAATTATAGTGGTTCACAAACAAGAAAACTACTTGAAAATTACAAAAAATACTAAAACAAAACGCTAAACTATTGTAATAGTTACTGTGGATTAACTGTAACAGCTTGTTTTTTTTTTTTCGCCCGCTTGCTTTAGCCACCAGCTAATGCCCTCTTTTGTTTTTAATTTTTTTCCTTCCGTTTGCTTTGCTGCAGCCAAGCCAGAGGGTTGGCTTTTTTATTTTTTTATTTTAGTCCCTGTTTTGTAATCTCTTTTTATTTTAGTCATTAAAATTTTATTATATTTGATTTTTATCCCTATAATAAATAATAAATATTAAATTTTAAATTTTATTATATTTAACTTTTTTCCTATAATAAATATTAAAATTTTATTATATTTGATTTTTTTCTTCATAATAAATATTTTTCTTAGCTTTCAATAAAAATTTATATTTTTTTTGTTCTTATTTTATGATATGTTTTTATTTTGTTCATTAAATTTTTATCATATTTGATTTTTATACTTATTATACTAAAACTAAATAAAGTTTCACTGTCCCAAGCTTTTAATTTTTCTTTTTATTATAATTCATGTTTTGTGATTTTTTTTTGTTTTAGCCATTAAATTTAGTAGAATTTGTTTTTAGTCCTTTTTTTTATTTTGATCATTAAATTTTTATTATATTTGATCTTCCCCCCTACATGAAACTATTTTTTAATTTTAGTAAAACTTTTTGTTATATTTTGGTTTTTATTTTGTGATCTTTTTTTTATTTTGATCATTGAAGTTTTATTATTTTTGATTATTATTCTTTTTATACTGAAATTAAATACAATTTCACTATTCTAAGTTTTTTTTTGGCTTTTAGTAAAAAACATTTTCTGTTTTGGTTCTAATTTTGTAATTTTTTTATTTTGATCATGAAAATTCGATCATGTTTTACTTTTGTTCCTATCTTATGTATAATAATTTTTTTTTAGTCTTATTGTTTATAATTTTTTTTTTTTTTGCTTTTACTGAAAGTTTATTTATTTATTTTAATATTTCTTTTATGATCTTTACTTTTTTTTATCATTTAATTTTTATCGTATGTAATTTTATCTTTATTTTTTTTGTCAAATTCTCGATTTGAATAAGTTTTTTGTCCTTTTGTTCTAGGTGGTCTTTCTATTTTATTAACAAATCATAGATGAATAATATGGTAAAAATTAATTATCTAAAATTCAAAAAACTATCACATCATTATTTTAGTTACCTGTTATTATTCATATTTTTAATAAAATACATGTTTATATGAAACAATAACTAATTAGTAACTTTATATTATTCAACTTTGTAAATTTTTTGTTTAGCTAATCTCACAACAAAATATCAAATATATGTTTTGATTATTTTTTTTAATTTTTTCACATGATCTTTTTAAATAATTATTTTTATATTTTATATGAATGAATATTTAAAAATATTATATAAATCATCGTGCGATAACGCGAGAGATACATGTTAGTATCATCTAAATCTTAATAGATGAAACAAAGCCATGTTAAAAGAGACCCGTGAGAAAATAGTTGTCAATAAGGTATATACAAAAAGGTGGTTCTTAAAAAAAAAAAAAAAAAAAAAAAAAAACCTATATATGTGTGTGGCTGCTAAGAAAGTTAGGCCCAACGTCCGAGGCAACAGGTACTGTCTGACAGTAATTGAAAAGAAAGAACTAGCTAGGTTCAGATGCTACGAATGATATTGGTTAATGGGTAGGACCAATACTCTTGACTTATGGACCACCTTGAAATTGATTCAGCATCACCATTCTATAAATTCTTGGACAAACTCCTGGCCCTGATGCATAATTCTTGTACACAGAGAGAAAAGAAAGAATACATAGCAGTGACAAGATTATTGAAGATGAAGAAGCTGTCTTTCTTCATGATTATGGTGGTGGTGGTGATGTTATTTGCTGAATCACAAGTTTCACAAGCAGTGACATGTAACCCGAGGCAGTTGAGCCCATGCCTAGGAGCAATCACGTCCTCTGCACCACCATCTGCCACTTGCTGCAGCAAGCTGAAGGAGCAGAAGCCTTGTCTTTGTGGATACCTTAAGGATCCAAGCCTCAAGCAGTTTGTTTCATCTCCTGGTGCTAGAAAGGTTGCTAGTGCTTGTGGTGTTCTCTACCCTACTTGCTAAATATTATAAGTATGATCAGTAGCATATATCATCTATAATAAATTATCAAAGATATATGAAGAATCAAGATGTAGTACTAGAAAATCTGTATGATCAATAAATTATCTTGTGATATTTAAATGTCATGAATATTTTTCCTCTTTGCTTTAATGTATTTATTATTTGTTTGTTTAATTTTTTTTATTTTTTTATTGAGTTGGTGTTTTATATCACGAGTAAATTATAAATTAATCTTGAATTCTTGGTTGGATGAATTGGCGATGAATGCACGTCAAATCGCTTTTTCTTTTTTTTTCCTATTTTTCTTGGACCAAAGAGAATTTTCAAACTTGTTGGATTATTGGAGTTAGGCCTCTTAAGCCGGCCTAGCAAGAAGCCCAAACGGCAACAAGCATTAATTTCAATTTTTAACGGTATGATAATATATATTAAAACCATTAAACAAATGGTGATAGTGATTGTATTATTTTGGTTTTAATTTTTGAAATTAAAAGCTTTTTTATTTTGGGAAAACATGCGAAAGAGAAGCGAAAAAAATGAAATGGTGGCGTTGTGATTTAGCGTGTTAATCACAAAAGACACGATAAAAGAATTTCTAAGACCTTATTTTTAACAAATTTTAGTTTGACCTGACCAACTTAAAATAATTTAATTAACTTTACGAAATGAATACAGTAGACATAAATTAAAGAAAGAAGGAAAAAAACAATGTGTAGAGAAACAAAATAGTATATTTCTCATTGCTACAATGCTCCATGCCTTCTTTGTCATCCAATTAATTTTCTTTTTCAGCACTTAAAATAATGTAGTCTTCATCAAGATTTTTAATACCCAATCCGCTGTCGAATTATCTCAATACCAACTCTATTTAATTAACAAAAATTCTCAATAATAATAATTAATAACAATTTTTTATTTGATGTTGTCAATATCTCTTTCTATGGTAAAAATACATTTATATTAGTTTATCGATCGAGACTAAATTTTTTAAAATAATTTTTTTATATATTGAATTAGCTCAATACCTACTCTACATTTGTTGGATATATTTAGAAAAATTTAATAAATTTTTTCATGTTGTGTTTTCAAGGTTTGAATTTAAAAAGTCAAGAAAACAGATTTTTTTTAACCACCAAATCAATTCCTTAAATTTTAGCACTTCTTTTATTATACATTTCCCTTTTTTCTTTATTCCAATATTTTTTCCATTAAATTTATAGAATTTGCTAGTGTCCAATTTTGTTATGCTTTTTACCCACAGACATCACATGTAGGTATGAAAAGGTATCCGGTTTATTAATTTAATTTTTTTACCTTAATCATCAAAAGAATACCTTACCCATTACTCATTAAGAAATCATCATATAAACCTTTATCTAGTCTATACCTGACCCATACTAATTATCCACCTATTTAATACCTATTAACTACTTACTAAATTTAATTTATCAAAAATATTTATTTTAATCCCTATAATTTTTAAGAAAAGTATTTTTTTATCCTTAAAATTTATTATTATTATTATTATTTGCATTTTGGTCATTTATTTATAATTTTTTTTGGTCCTCAAGTTTTTAGAAAAAATAGTTTAATCTTTAATTTTAAATTTTATGCAATTACATTATTGCATGTTAATAAAAAAATCTAAATAAATTAGTGGATATTTAATAGAATAAAGAGTGGGTACTTATAATCTAAAATTATATTATTGGGTATGTATTTTTTTACCTTTACCTATTTTAATATCTATTGAATATTCTTAATAAGCTTATATTAGATTGGATAAAACCTGATTCATTGTCATCCCTTTCATATGGATTCTTTATCGTTCGTTGGTTTCACATTATTAAACATAGTCTTTGGGGATGAAAATAGGTGTTTTTTGAGAGCAAAATATGTTACCCATAAAAACTGATTTTCACTTGAGATTCTTAAACGATGTTTCTTCATTGTTAAGGAAAAAGTGTAAACGCAAAGACACGATTAAGCCCATGTTTAGGGAAAAAAGAAGAAGATTAAGCAACTATATAATAGCCCAAAATAAGGGTATTGAGCTAAACAGACTCTACAAGGCCCGTTCTCTCTCTCTCTCTCTCTCTCTCTCTCTTAAGAACAACGGTTTGCTTTTTCTCTGATCTATGAATTCTACCCAGTTTAATAGCAATAGCAAAATGTTATTAATTTTTAGATAAATTATCATTTTTTTTTTGTTATGTTTTGTTATTAATTTTTAAACAATTTTGATGTGTAACCATTAATTTTACGATTTCTTCCCTTAAAACGGAAACAACTTAATTTTTAAAATAAATATTTTTGAAAATATTGCTGTTGAGTTTAGTATGTGAGTAGAGAGTGATAGATAAGCTAAAAAAAATAAAAAATATAAAATGTTTGTACAGGAGATGAACCGATAAATTAATAATTTAAACTTTTAGATTTAAAATAATTTCTATTTTTATGTAAAAGTTTTTTTATGTACAGATTCAGATCCAAAGGACTTCCTAATATAGACCTCCCAAACAATTACCTTAATCGATTGGTTTTTCATTGAGTGAGTCTAAATTTATTTAATCAAGGCAAGAGATATATCTTTTCGAAATATGCATTAAATTAGCAAAATTATGAATTTTTTTGGGGCTCTCCTTTCATCGTAAAATCCTATCCAATCAACCCCGTTTTTATCCAAATCCCATGAAAAATGTTTTTGTACAAGATCGTATTATAATCAGGATTTTACATTTTAAAAATCATAAAATCCGAATCATGGGATTTTTTTTTTAAGGATTTTACATGAGCTAAATAATTGCTTATTTCCTTGTAATTCGGTTTCCTTTTTTTAGAAAGATTTTTTCTTTGATATTTAATTTATGAGATGTGGATAATTAATACTTTTATATTAATACGACGTTAAATACTTTAATTCCCTAACATTTCCTCCAATTGAAAGGTTTGTTCATGTCAAAAGATATACTTAGAAATATAATGAAATGCTGAAATTATTTTTTTTAGTATAAAAATTGACATAAGAATATATTTTTATTTAAATATTTTTAATTCTTTAGATTTTAATTAATAACAGCAAGGGCAATTAGACACAAGTTTTTAAAAAATTTGGATATCTATTAAACTATTGATTGGTCCTAAAAGAACGATTTGCTTCTCTTTTTGTTTTTTATGTTTGCCACTTTGACATGAATTCGATTTGGCCTATGAGAATGAACCTTTTTTATTTTTACTATTATTATTATTATTATGAAAAAGAGAGTTATTCAATTAAAATCAGTTTATACAAAATGAATACTCTCTTTAGATTTGTTAGACATGGACTGTAAACACGATGCAATTAAGTTTGTAGGGAAGATTAGAGAGAACCTTTAAAACATAATGGTAAAATTGAGTCGTTTCACGAAAGAAAAGGAAATGTTAACAACATACAGTACATAAGGTCTAAAGGTCCATTGTAGATGATGGAGGATTCTTCCATTTGGAGCCTGGATCACCGCATGTTCTGGTTGATCCGGACAACTGTGCATATAAATGCAATGGTCCATCTGGACCACCCCATGTTAACATCATGATGATGATGATGACTCTTACGAGGTTATAAAGACAAACCTTTCCAATGCGAGTTTAATCGATTAATAAATGCTAAAGGTCACCTCTTGTGTGTGTCCGTTTCTCTTTTAGACCCATGCAAATTTTAAAATATTTCTAAAAGAAAGACATTAACCCCACTTTTTTTGGTCAGGAATTCTGAATTCATACACGAGACAAAGACATGCCATTGTTTTAACGTCGTACCACTAATTAACTAAAGGAAGTCTTTCACGCAACATCTAGGCCCTTTCATGAATGATAAATAGAGCTCTTTTAACTTATCTAAAACATGATTTTTCTTTCAAGTGACCACGCACAATATCAATAAGGAAATAAACCACAATATTACTGGGCCTTATAGATGAAACATTTTAATCATTTAATATTGCTAACAGATGTCAATATTTTTCAAATAACAAGAAACAAAATCTTTATTCAAAAGACTTATTCTCCTAAATTTAGAGACATAAACTCTTATTCAAAGAAAGAATCATATCCAAAAATTATATTTGAAAAGCATATGTTTGTATCAAATTAAAAAATTAAACCTCATATAATTAATTTGACATAATAAGCATTTCATCCAACTTTTCTTAATTCTTAACAAAACTTGATGACGTTAAAAATACTAGTCACATAACATATAATTTTAACTAAAATGTTCTAACGTATTTTTTTAATTAAAAAATTATTACTTTTTCTCTTTAACAAAATGAGTGAAATTGATGAGAGATACGCTCGTGACTCTATTATGATCCCACACTCTACATCGCATATTTGACAAAAACAGAAAAAGATGAACCCTAATTTTAATTTAGGCTTCTCGTTCTGTAAATCTCAATATTCTTTTTAGTGTTAAAAGTGTCAATAATCTTTTAACTGTGGCGTGAACAAGCAAAGTTGAAACCTTGAATCTCTAGATGAAGCACTTGGCATCTAGATATTCTCAAGGTAGATGAAAATAGACGACGCAGGAAGGAAACATGCTTAAAATTAGGACAATTCGCAAAAGGATCACTTGAATAAGAAAGGCTGGAGCAGCGGTAAAGAGTCAATGAAGCCAACAACCGTGAAAGCAAAACTGAAAGATTGATCTGGCAAGAACACAAAACTAATTACTTCGGAGATTTTTCAACTTACCAATTGACTCAGGGAGCAATAGGATTTTCTCTCGATTGTAAGTTATTTCGCCAAAATTAAATTAGGTCAATAATTTTTTTTGTATTAGGGCAAGACATTTTAATGAAAATTGTATATTAAGTAGCCAATATTTTTTTACATCAGTAAGTAAGTTTTTGGATGTTTGTTTAACATTTTGAGTCACTTGGTTCGAATTGCTTAAACATAACAAATATAGGGTCGAATTCATCAAATTATTTATACAAGATTTAATTTAATATCGA